CCCCTGGGACCTGGGCCCCAAACCATTTTCCTCCTGGGGATTGCAGCAGTCCAAGGCCTCCTGGGCTGCAACAGCTGGCAGGGCAGATGCTTGGAATGGCGGGATCTCTATCACTCTGTACTTGAGACTACTGAGGCGTGGTGGAGGCCCATCTGATAGTGATTCTTCACAGCTCACAAATGGAGACAGGCTTTACGACACCAAGAACTTGCGTGAACCAGGCAAAGAATGCAATCAGCAAGCAGGTAGGGCCAGGGGCTCAGTCAGTCAGTCAGGGACTCCTGCCAGTCAGTAAGACATTGTACTCTGATGGGCAGATCACCCTATCTCTTCAGCAGTAAGTAGCAGGAAAAAATGGACTGTCCCAGAATTTTAAAAGACTTATAGGTTAATACAACCAAATGCAATGAATAGTCCTAGACTGGGTCTTAGTTTGAAGAACTAGCTATAAAGTGTGCTCTCTGAATATGACAGAATACCTGATATTAAGAATCATAAAAAAAAAAAAGAAATCAGAACAAAACATATATATATATATATATATATATATATAATAAAATGTCTAGAAATAAACTTAGGGTCAATAAAAAAACTTACGTTAAAAAAGAGACATATAGGCTGGGCATGGTGGCGCACGCCTGTGTCCCAGCACTTGGGAGGCTGAGGCAGGAGGATCACTGCAAGTTCGAGATCAGCCTGAGCTACACAGTGAGTTCCAGGTCAATCTCAACTATATAGTGAGACCTTGTCTCAAACAAACAAACAAACAAACAAAAAAAGAGACATATAAACCTAAATAAATTTAAGGTACCTTCAATCAAGGATCCAATAGGGATTTTTTGGAACTGGAAAGAAATTATGTTAAAGATCCTGTGGTGTCAGGGATTTAGCTCAGTGGTTCCTCCGCCTGCCTTGCAAGTGCAAGGACCTGAGTTCGACACAGTGCCAAAAAAAAAAAAAAGATCCTGTGGCAAAATTAATTGTCTAGAAATAGGTAATTTTTTGAAAGAGAGTATTTTTATTACTATGAAATTACTATCATCAAAACAGTATGGAATTGTAATAGAGACAAGGGAAATAAAAGAACATCTGGAAATAAATCCAGATATATTTAGAAATTCAATATAAGATAAAATGGACTTTTTAATTAAAAAAGGATGCCTTTTTTTTTTCCAGTTTGGGGATCAAACTCAGGACCTTGAAACTGCAAGGCAGGAATGGCATCACTGAGCTAAATTCCTGGCCCAAAAGATGCCTTCTTTAACAATGGCACTAACATAACTGACCGTGTGGCTAGAAGAAAATCCACTTAAACTGTATAAAAACTTAGTTCATGTAGGCTAAAGATCTAAAATGTCTCATATCAAAATAGAATATACTCTATAAACCTGAACTAACTCCTCACATATAGAACACTAGAACATTGAAAATGTCCCTGCTGTGCATGGTGGCACACGCCTATGATCTCAGCTACATAGAAGGTTGAGTCAAGAAGAGTGAGTGTTCCAGGACAGCCTGGCCAAAACAGCAAGACCCTATCGGGAAAAAAAATCTCATGGTTTAAAAAGTCAGACTGTATTAACGAACTAAATAACAAAAATAATAATGATGTGAATTTATTTTAACAGGGTTGAGATTGTTAGAGGACAATGAACTAAATTTGCTACACAGACTCACTTTACAACTTTGGTCAAGACACTAAATTTATCTGTGTAGAAGTTTTCTCACCTAGAAAATTAAGATGGTAAAGGGGGTGAAGGGAGGGCAGGGGTATGGGGAAAAATGAGAACCAAGACCTGTCATGTAAAGGTACAAGATCCCAATGATGAATGTAACTGTACTGTATACCTGAAATGTACCAATAAACTCAATGAGAAAAAAAAATCAAGATGATAATATAGCAGCAGCAACCTTGAAATTTGTTGTGAAGTTTAAACATAACTTACTGAAATATCTGGCAGAGTAGTTATGTACCGTAGGTGATCAAGCATAAGAAATATGAGAATCAATATACACACAGGGTATCACTACCATAATCCCACAGCATCTTTCCTCCTAGAGCCTTGAGGTCTAAGAGTAAACACTACTACATCAGTAGGGACACCCAGAGTTCCCTGAACTCCAGTCTCATAAACCAAAATCCACTTTCTGATCTCACATGTTAGATAAATAAAAACAAATTTTCCTAAACCCAATTCTCCCATATTTTTCCCATCTCAGGACATGGTTAATTCCACACTTGTAAATGTTGAAACCAAAAAACTTAGGGTTAAGCTGGGAATAGTGGCACACACCTGTAACCCCAGCACTAAGTGAGGCTAAGGCAGGATTGCCAGTTAAGATCCACAAGATCCAGTCATGGCCAGGCATGGTGGCGCACGCCTGTAATCCCAGCACTCAGGAGGCTTGTGGGACCCTAACGGCTATGGAACCCCTAGTGAGCCAGCATATAGCAGCACACATTTCTTTCTAGCCAGCTCCAAGATGAGATTAAAACAGTGTTCGGAAGCCTGGTACAGGCAAACAAGATAGCGACTCAAGGCCGCATTAGAAAAGAACAGTCTGAGGTCTGGAGATGAAAGACCAGGTGCACCATAGAGCTGACTCCTTTAGATAGCAGAAAACCGACCCCATGACCCCTGGCCCACTTGCTGTGCTTGCAATCCTCTTCCCTTGCCTTTAAAAAACTCTGCTAACCCCTGTGCTGGGCCTCTCTGAGCTGCTCAGTTCTGAGAGTGCCGTCTGGCCAGACTAATAAAGGTCTATTTACCAACTAGTCCGGTGTGTTTCTTCCCGGGTGAGTCTCGCTGCTCATCGAGCTCCCGGAGCCTTGCTGAGCTACAGATCCCACCGTCTTGGAGGCCCTTTCGGCTGTTCAAGGCTCCTCAGAGTGGAAGTGAGACTTTAGGTCTTACAGCTGAGGCAGGAGGATAGCTGTGAGTTCAAGACCAGCCTGGGCTACAAAGTGCGTTCCAGGTCAGTCTCAACTACATAGTGAGACCCTCTTAAAAAAAAAAAAAAAGATCCACAAGATCCAGTCTTAAAAGGAAACATAAAAATAGCTAGGCATGTTGCTCAGTGGCACAGTGCTTGCCTAGCATGCACGAGACCTTAGGCTGACTCCAGCATTACAAAACACAATACAAACAGAACCTTGGAATGATTCTAGTCTTCTCTCCTCTCACACTCCACTAGGGTATCACGTGAGCTCCACTTTCCACTGATGAGAAGAGAATCTGACCACTCACCATCTCCATTATTCTCCCATTCCCTAGGCCAAACGGCCACCACTCTCGGATCTTACTGGTCTCCATGCTTCCTTCTTGGCCCTTTTCAGTCTGTTGTCCACAAACTATCCCTTATGATTCTCTAAAAATATAGTCAGAGCCACTTACTCCTTTCCCTTCAAGTTTCTGATCAAATGTCACCTTCACAGTGACTTCCCTGCCCAATGTATATGTATTTTTTTAAAGTCCTCACTTCCGTTTGCACATTCTCCTTACCCTGCTTTGTCCTGTCCATACCACTCTGGCATGCTACATTGGGACAAGACATTATTTTTCATCCATAGATATATTCTCAATGCCCAGAAAAATGATTTAAATATAAAGCTACATTAGATAAAGCCTTCTGAAAATTCTCAGGTAACCTCTTTAGAACGGTGTCCACCCCCACCAAATTACTACTTTATGTTGGCTAAATGCATCCAAAGACAAAAAAATGTTACACAGTCGCTTGATCAAAAGACTTGATAAGTGGTATCCAAATAAAGGACCTTCATAAAAGTTTCTTCAAAAGTTCATTAAGTTCCTCAAAGTAAACTTCATAAAGTTCCTCACAGTAAACTTAGTGATACTGCATTTACTCCGCAAAATATTCTGGTGCTTTTGGTTCCAGAACATTAGTTTTACAGCACTGGTGAGCTAAAAGCCACAGGAAGTGGTTCAGCATTCATTTAAATGTGGTTGTTTTGCTTTTAATAATTTCCTTGACTCTTCATCGGTAAACTTGCTTTTTTCAGAATTAGGGCTCAACTAATTAATGTTTTAAACCAGGTTTTAAGCTATAATTTTAATCAAGTCTCTCATTTTTATGTAACTTCCTAGAAATACATAAGGAAAATGTAAATTCCAAATCCAACATGGCTTCTTCTGATAATAAAATATTCTCATCAAATAGGTTACTCGAAGTGAAGTGCTTGAAACAGCCCCTTTGCTCTCATTTGGAGGGCGGAAAAAACAAGACCTAACAGAAATAAACCAGCTGATTAAATTCAAAAGCGTAGGCATGTCCAATCAGTTCACAAATGGAATACTGTTAGGTTTCCCATGCCTCACCATCTTCTCTCTCCAAACCAAAAATGATGCCATTTTAATTTATGAAAAGTCACTGTTTACATTTTGATGATATTCACACAACAAGTCTCATCCCAAGAAATCACTTATCATGTACCGTCTCGTAAAAAAAATGAGAGAGAAAAAAAATCTAATTCCTACGCACCGAGAAAAACAAAGGGAATATCCGGTATAATGCGACGTAATTGAAAGCCCAGACCTGAACAAGACGCAGGAGTTCCGTTCTCAAAAACAGCAGCGTCTAAGAATCTGCTAAGCAACCGCCCAGGTTTAAGGCCCTGCCGGCTAAGTGTGACTCAGAGACTGACTACAGGTGGCAGGGCAACTGCGAGCCATGGCAACGGGCAGCCTTGACAACAGTCGGGGGCGAGGACGTCACACGAAACACAACAAGCGCAGGTAAACTGCAAGGCAGCGCGTCAGACTAGGGATTACCAGCTGCAGCCGGAGAAGGTGGACGCCATCGGCGAGTCCAAGCAAGGAAGAAAGGAGACGCGAGGAACAGACCCGTCCTGCCCCGCCCACTACCCAACGCCCCACCTAGGAAGGGCAAAGGGACCAGGCGTGTGAGGAATTACGGAGGAAAGGCTGCGGGGCGACCCGCGAAAACGGCTGTGACAGGAAGGAGCGAGAGGAAGCACTCACCAGGGTCGTTCCAGCACAGCGCAGGGCTCGCCATTAGCAGAAACACAAGCAAGTCGGGGAGCCGGCTGCGC